AGCTTAAATTATCCTTTGACATACCCCTCTGGAGAAGTAAAAGTACTATACAACATTTATATACAACTTTCGACCAAACTGCATTGAGCATTTCTGGTCCTACATTTATCATTTTCGCTGATTTATTTATTACTATTTTTCTTCTTCTTTTTTTTTATTTAAGAAACCTGTTTGTTAAATTTATATATATATATATATATATATATATATATATATATATATATATATATATATATATATATATATATATATATTACGCTTCGGTGCTGGTCCAATTAATAGTGGGGTTCTTCATTTTCTCTAGATTCTACACCATCAGACATCCGTAATGATATATTAAGCAGCTTTAACGACGCCACCAACTCTACGTCTCCCAGATTTTTCTCAACAATTCGTGATTGAATGTGATGCTAGTGGAGTTGGGATTGGTGCCATTCTTTCCCAACATAATCAACCGGTGGCGTACTTTAGTCAATCCTTGAAAGGATCGGCTTTGAGATTATCCACATATGAGAAGGAGATGCTTGCTATCGTCAAAGCAGTCAAGAATTGGCGTCCATATTTGCTCGGAAAGCCATTTCTTGTCCGCACCGACCACAAAAGTCTCAAATATCTACTTGAGCAACGAATTACCACACCGGCACAAACACGCTGGATGTCCAAGCTACTTGGTTACGATTATGTTATCGAGTATAAGCGAGGAATTGACAATCAAGGTGCTGATTCGTTATCACGTGTTGTTGAATTTCAGTTCATGTCCATTTCTACAACTCATGCAGATTGGTGGCCCGTGCTTCAAAAAGAAGTGGAACAAGATCCATTCTATACAGAATTGCAAATAAAATCTCAATTAGACCACTCTTTGCGGCAACTTGATGGCGTATGGTTTCGGAGTGACAAAGTTTATTTAAGCTCCAGCTCTACCTTGATTCCGGGAATACTTGCTGATTGCCATTCATCACCAATTGGTGGTCATTTTGGTTTTCACAAAACTCTTTCTCGAATTAAACATAATTTTTATTGGTCTAATATGAGTCAGAGTTTGAAAGATTTTTTACGACAATGTGATGTTTGTCAGAGGTTTAAGACCGATTGCATGAAACCGGCAGGGTTACTTCAGCCGCTGCCCATTCCAACTCAAATATGGACTGATGTTTCCATGGATTTCATAGAAGGATTGCCGTCTTCGAATGGATATACAGTGATAATGGTAGTCGTCGATCGATTGACAAAATATGCTCATTTTATAGGCTTAAAACACCCTTTTACGGCTATAGTTGTCGCCAAGGCGTTTGTTGCTAATGTGGTTCGACTACATGGTATTCCAAAGACAATTGTTAGTGACCGCGACAAAGTTTTTATCAGCTCTTTTTGGCGAACGTTATTCCAATTGCAAGGGACCAAGCTGTGTATGAGCTCGAGTTATCACCCCCAAACCGACGGCCAAACGGAAGTTGTGAATCGAACCTTGGAGCAATATTTACGTTGTTTTGCTGGCGATCAACCAAAAAAATGGTTCGAGTGGATTCCCTGGGCTGAGTTCAGCTACAATACATCCACCCACTCCTCTACAAAGATGACCCCGTTCCAGGCTGTTTATGGCATTCCTCCTCCAAGTTTATTGGATTATGTTCCCGGTACATCTCGGGTACAAGCGGTAGATGAGTATCTGCGGGATCGAGATGCCATTCTACGTGAGTTGAAACACAATCTCATCATAGCTCGCAATAGGATGAAATGTAAAGCAGACCAACATCGTCGCGAAGTCTCATTCGATGAAGGCGACTGTGTGTATTTGAAATTACAACCTTATCGGCAGAAGTCAGTAGCTTTTCGGGGTTCCCTTAAGCTCGCCCCACGTTTCTTCGGTCCATACCAGATTACTGAGAAAGTTGGTTCAGTAGCTTACCGATTAGCCTTGCCGCCCGAGTCTCAAATTCATAACGTTTTTCATGTGAGTTTATTACGGAAACATTTGGGACCAGTCGCCCCAACATCACCTGCTCTTCCTCCAATTTCAGATTCTTCAATCATTCTTCCTCAGCCCGAAGCCGTTTTGGATCGCAGGGTCATTTGCAAAGATAAATATCGCCCGAGGTCAGAAATTCTCGTTAAATGGATAGGTGCACCAGTCGAAGATGCAACATGGGAAAATGAGCGGCGCTTCATTAGATCGTATCCCGATTTCATCCTTGTGGGCAAGGATTCTTAAGTGAGGGGGAATGATATGTGATAATCCTTAAGTGGCAGTGGTTGTCTCTAATTTAGTTCTTGGAAGTTATTAGAGATATGTATTGAGTAGTTAATAGCATTATCCTTATTATTAGTATTAGTAAGTTAATTAACCTCTATTAATGTAAGGCAATATAGCCATAATGTTTGTACGTTGAAAAATATATATGAAATATAGTCTTCTTCCTCTCAACTCCTTCTTCTTCTTTTCCTTGCTTACATCATCTCTGTTACCATTCTTATCAACTTGAAATCGACAAAGGAATCGATCCGTTCAGTGAGTTCCTGCTTAACTTCTGCAGTGTATTGAATATATTGAACAGTGTAATTCGTGACGGGATTTCTCCAATAAACTCGTCCGGCTGAGATCAATCAAACTCAGGTTTCTGTATTTGGTGATTTGGGCAGGGATTCACCTGTGAATTTGATTGAATGAAAGCTGAAGCTCCTGCAAAGCATTCATTTGTCCGAGGTTAATCGGGACTGCTCCGGTGAAGGAGTTGCTGCTGAGGTTTAGACTCTTAAGCGAATCCAACACATCCTGCTGTAAACCGATCTCACCGGTGAATGAGTTGAGACAAAAATCCAAATGGTCCAACACTTTGAAACTGTTGAGAGTAGGAAAGAACCCGAGAACTTGTTCCTACTAAAATTCAAGGCTATGATTTGCCGACAACCAGTGGTGTCGAGCAAAGCCTGATTAGTTCATCAGGAATGACAGATTCATCAAAACAAATGAATAGCCGTTCATCGAGTTCGAGAAGTTTTTATAAGAAATCACCTTTAAAACCTGAAGCAAACTATGAAGTAGACAGTAGGGCTAAAATTACAGTGAAAGCTACGTATGGTGGAGACATTGTTCGGTTTAAATTCGAACCTTCTTCTTCTTCAAGGTGTTGTGAATTGTATGAAGAAGTGGCAAAGAGGTTCAAAATTGAGACTAGACAATTTAAGCTCAATTATTTGGACGACGAAGAGGAATGGGTGACGATGGTGAATGATTCGAATTTGCGAGAGTGTCTTGAAGTATTGAGTTTGTTGGGACTCGCACGGTGAAGTTCCTCGTTCGTGTTGACGTGGATGGTCACATGAGGAACTCAGGTACAGGGAATCATTTCTTGGCGGGAAGCACCGGAACTTGTAATTCGTCGTCGACAAAGAATAAATAAGTTATGCCAATAATAATATTATTTATTCCACTCATAATATTTCTCTTTTATTAATTATTCGTATATTTTTTCAACTGTTTTTACTATGTTACTGCGACTTTGTTTTTAATTGTTGGAATCCACAACCATCCCCTTATTGATGCCGCCGCCACCGCCATAGGTGCGTGCAGTCACCGCCCTTCTCAACAATGGAGTGGAGTGATGTGGAGCGAGATAGAAGAGTGGAAGAACTAGAGATAGAGAACGAGAGATAAAGAAAGAAAGGAAAAATAGATTTGAGAGAACGTGATGCTAGAGTTTATGTATTTTTGTTAAGGGTAAATTAGGGATATAAAAAGAATATAGGATGCGAGTCATATATGTTTTCTGAAATTAATTTAGTTCAGAAAAAAATATTAGAGTTGTATTCCACATTTAATTATGTTCATATATGTTCTCTAAAATTAATTTAGTTCAGAAAAAAAATATTAGAATTATATTCCACATTTAATTATGTTTCCACTTAGTGACTTCTAGCATATTAACCCTTTATAAAATTCCGTAACAATCAAGTCAACTTCAATATATTATTAATATCTTGGAGCATGCTAAACCCCGCACTAAAATTTATTGAATTAGAGTAACTCCAATAGGAGCGAAATGGAGTATTAAGTTACAAATGGAGGGTGTTAAACCCCACACTAAAAAACTCTCTATCTACCCCTTCTCTCTCTAACTTTCTCTCTCGACCATTTGTTAAGATTTATTAATCATTTTAAAAACTTATAAATTATATATTGTTACATTTTTTTTTATTTTTTTTAATATTTATTTTTCACTTTTTTACATATTTTTTTATTTTTTTAACACATCAGTTAGCAACTTAGCATTACCCTATCCCTACCCCACCGTTTTATTTTGTTGCGTCTGCTATGGACACCACCTCCATGGCAGCCTACTCCCACCTCCGTCCCCGGCCACTCTTCAACGACGACCACTTCGGATGTCGACCCAAACTCAACGGCAATCAGTTAGATGTTGTTCCCTTTCCACCAAAGACCAAAACACTTTTTTTTTCTCCGAAAAAACTATGAAACAGCCGAAATCCATCTCAATTCATCCCAAAACTAAAATTAATAGATTATGTTACAACCTTCATTGTGGTTTGAATATGTGAAAACTTTGCTCAAAATCGAATTTGAAATTGTAGTGACGTTTTTCATGTGTGATATTGTAGAAAAAAATAAGGGATAAAGAAGAGACGTGAACAAAGTTTATAGAGAATATTTTATTTATGTGCGGAATTCAGTAAATTATTTTATAGTTAAGTATATACACACATATATACATACAATTCGACCTAGGTTTTGTTTTGTTAGAAAACATAAGTGTCAAGACAAGAGGGAATCAATTCCCACCAAAAAAAAAAAGAGTTAATCAACTTTGTGTAACAAAAAAAACAAGTGTTTGTGTGTGTAGTAACGCCATTGTATAAAAGCCAATTTTCATAGAAAAATTGAATATCTAAGTCCTAAATAACTGCAAACATAATGCGTACGAGCATGCGAACAGTCTTCCCGAAAATAAATAAAAAAATTTAAAAAAATAACGCATATGCAATGATCATGACGATGGCATTTTTTTTTTTTTCCCGAACAACAAATACTATACACATAACGAAGCTCAACAACATATACATGTAACCAATCAGCCAAAAGGGAATCCTAAAGCCCTACAACATAAATGGGCTCAAACCTCTTCTAAATGTATCCTCAAAACAATAAAATATTAAATACAAAAATTGAAAGAATCGGTACAAAAAAGTCGACCCCACCTCCCCGGCAGCCTGAATTGGACAACGACACAATCATCAATTTTTCTCGAACAAAATCGGAACAAAGCTATGTGTCATAATTCATTTACGATTGTCCAAACTATATATTACTAAAAAAAAACGTTGGAAGATAGCAACTATGCATAGGAAAGACGAAATTTAAGATTAAAAAACAGTTATTGTCTTGTTTCAATTTTCAAGACTTGTTACTCCCTCTGTTCCATAATAACTTCCATAATAACTGTCTCTTTTTAAAAATATTTTGTCACATATTATATGTCACTTTAGATTTCCAGTACTGCATTAAATACATTTTTTTTCCTCTTTTAACCTTATTAATTCAACTCTAAGTATTAACTATCTCTTATCACATCGTTAAATCATCAAGGTTATTTTAGTCTTTCTAATGTGTTTTTTTTTCTTCTAAAATCAAGAAACATTTATTAAAATTATTAATACTTGTCCAAAGCTAAACACGACAGTTAATTCAGAACGGATGTAGTAAGGAAAACTGAATTAAATGGGGAAAAACTATTACATCGAGTGCATAACGGGAGTACGTACCAGGATTACCCGAATTCTGTGACGTAGGTAGTGCAGGCAAAGACATCTCTGAAAAAATTCATGCACAACTCATTAGAAAGTATTTTTTTTCATTAAAATTAAGAAATAATATAAAATATTAATAAATGAATTACCAGGAGCACAAAGAGACATAGATGTCATGGAAGATGACGATGGCCACGGAGCTGCAATATTGTCGCTCAAATCACAAGTGAAACTGAACCCCGTTGAATTATCGTACACCATATCGGCAGGTAGGCTCGGAAGTAAACACCCTGCATTCAAATTAATTTCATCATTAATTAATTAATGTTTATTTTGATGTATATATAATTTGATGTTGTATTAAAAGGTTACCACCCCAAGTACAAATTAGATTTTGAAACAAATGGCAGTTAGGTATCGAGACTCGTTATTCATAACACAGTTTTGTTTGCAAAACAAATTACTTTCTAGACCTTTTAACATCAAAAGGACTGCAAACTAACTATAACAAAACAATTAAGTGGAATAAGGGCTAGTAATAGATTCTTAAAACACCAAACGTCGAACGATAAAACTCATCATAAATTGCACACGACGGGAAATTAGAGACCCCAAGGTAGTAAGGGTATCTTTGGAAGGTCAGTTATCATGTAATATGTTTTGAGTTAAGCAATTAGAAATTAAATTGAACTTGAAACTATTATTTTTTTCAAGATACTAACGAATTATTTACAATCTGAAAAAAAAAATCCCCTGACTGAAAAACGATTTATTTCATCTCACGAGAACAGAGATTTAAGTATGGAACATAACAATACGATATTCAGTCGAATAAAACATAAAAGGGATTGAAATAGTTACCTTCTTGTCCATACGCTGCCCACCACAGACAGAAATGAAAAAAACAAAAAAAAAAATGAAATTTATCAGAAACCATCGATGTCGAGTAAGAAATTACATTGTAAGAAAAATCAAATATTGTTGTTACCTTGTAGGCTAAAATCTTTTATGTCCACGTCACAAAGCTCGTAAACATTTGTGATGACACCACCCTTTTGGAGCATGGAGCCGAACATGGTGGCACACATAATTGCTTGCCGATTAGTTATCAACATTTGTCGTTGAATACTTGCTATGTAATTGTTGAGTGAGCTACAACACGAAGGACTAGGTGCAGCAACATTGTGGCATGCATCGATTACTTCTGACGGCGGTTTCAAATCCAAAGGACAAGCTGCATCCCGTAAGGTAATTGTCACAACATAATACATTACAATATGAAGTCCAACTAAATGCAATAGCAAAGCGAAACGAAAAGAACACTGACACAAGCAATAGTTTACAATTTACGAAGTCTTTTTTTAGTACACGTTTAAATGGATAGATAGATACTCACCTTTATTAACTTTGCAAGCAGACAATATTCGGAACGCCTTATTCGCGGAATCGATAGGAAGTTTCTTCGAAATCCACGAAAAGACGACCCCTTTACAATCACTGATCACATCAACATGAGTAGAAATTCCACCAGTACCCTTATCATCGTTCAGATACGATTGCACCCCCGATATCTTAAGTGCAGACTCCATAATCACGGGCTGACAGCTCGGTCTACAACATTCTTTAAGAGGGTCTATTGAACCACAAGCCTCCAGTAATTTACTCGTATTCACCGTTTTCTCGAAAGTGTCCATGTCTTTAACAGGACAAGAGCCACCCGTCAGGTTCGTAGATTTCGCGGAGCATATAAACGGGATCGAACTGTTTGCTCCCCGGCTCGCTAATATACTGACAATATCCTTAAAACAATCATCCGCATGCGCGGTTTGCAGTACTAGATTATCCGAACCTGTGCTGTACAGTCCTTGGAAGATACGGAGTAAGCTACTGAACTGCGGGCAGCATATAACGTTTCCTACAACTGCTGCTAACGGCTGGTTACAGTCGGAGGCTGTTCTTTCCATTATACTTGAAACGGCGGAGAAGTTTACGGGGCAGCGCCCGGTTAGGACAGGATCGTAGGTACTAGGATGTGTGGGGTACATTGGAGGTAACGAGTTAACTGGGAATGAATAATGTGGGATAACGGTGGGCGATATTTCGATGGGTTCGAAAATTCCGCTTTTCGGTGGGCTAGCTAAATTAGGTGCTGAATAAATGCGAATGGGCTCGGATAGTGAGTCGAGGGATATCACATTCTTGAAGCTATACAGCCAGATTGTTAAATGCAGCAAACAATGGAACCAATAGCCTGCAAATCCCGTAGAACAAGATTATACACAAGCATTCATCTCAGTTGGTTAAATTTTTAAATAAGAAAATCGAGATTCTTCTTACCCTTGAGCCGAGTAGCGGTTGTTACGCAATCCATAACACCCACTAACCGTCAGGCAACATGGGGACTTTGTGATACAATCTCGAAGGTTAATTGAAATTTACGAAAGGGAGATGGTTGAATCAGTAAGCTGAAACCTGCAAAACAAGTTTAAACACGGTAATACGAAAATCCCACAATTTTTTCTGCGTTGTATTTCTCTCGTATAAAAGAATCATCTATAGCAACAAGAAATCAAAGATAACGATCCGTATTCCAGTTTATCGAAAAGGAATCAAATCTTCAATGTCTCTTTCCTTTAATTTAAATTCCGTTTCACAAGTAGCTCCGGAATCAGAATTAGCATAAAATTAAGCTAAAGAATAAATCTTAATTACTTCAAATCGAAACCCAAAAAAAATATAGTAATATTTTTCGATTATTTGCCCTTAACTCCAAAAATCATCAGTGTTGCAGCAAAACCCAGGAAAAATCTAGAACCCTAAATCACTACCCAAACTAAACAAAATCAAAACATAAAATCAGAACTAAAAATGCAGCTCAAATACTCCCCAAGATCTATCCCCACCATCATTCACCTCAACAAAATCAAATCAACACATACCCACGCAAAAAAAAAAAAAAACCCTAAAAATGCGTGCTTTTCTGCGAAAAAGGAGAGCTGCTTAAGCAAAAATACCTGGAAAATCGGAATCCGCTAGTGTTTACAGGATCAATTGTCATAAAATGCAATAAATCAGCACCGAAATCCGAGCTCGAGATTAGCTAAAAATGTCTGCAAGTGATTCGAGAAAAGTAGAGAAAAAAAAAACCCTAAGAAAAAGTTGGGGAAAGTTGAGCTGAATGATTACTATGGAGATAAAGCGTGAAAAGAAACTGGGGAAGCTTTTTTCCTCTTTGTCTATGGCTTTTCTTCTCCTCCTTTTTTTTTTTTTTTTTTGTTTTTTTATTATTATTGATTATTATTATTTTTATATGCAAAAGAGTAAATTAGGAAAACCTCCTGAACTTAGACTAAATTAAGAAAAATGCCCCTATCTATCTTTAATTATCAAAATCCTTCCAATGTTTGTTTATGTATTACACCAACTCTATTACGGTGTGATTTTTTTCACGAAATTATTTTTATTACAGGGTATATTTCTTGGAAAATGTCGATTCTACCCATGCGGATATGACATTTTTTTAAGCTATTTCTCAGTGTTTTGAAACCCGGATCGGGACCGACTGGTTGAACTGGTTAAACCGCAAACCGTTGTCTTTTCCAGTCCGGTTGAACCGTAATATTGACATTCGAGTGAAAATTTGTTTGTTTGCTCAAAATTGTGTTTTTTTAATAAAAAAAAAATAAACAAATAAAATGGCCAAAACGACTTCTTTTTACTGCGGAGTTGAAAAAAAATCAAAATAAATAAATTTAAAATTAGAAGACATGTTATTTTTTTTATTATAATTTATATAATATTTGAAATGATTTGGTGTGATATCAGATATGTGTGTTGATTTGTTGTGTGCAAAAGAAAATTAAGTTTCATTTATGTTTTAATTGAAAATAAGTAAGGAGTAAATGTGTGCGAAAGAAAATATGTTTTATTTACTATAAGAATTATATATAAATAATTATATAATTATAAAATAAAAAAAATAAAAAAAAAGCGGTTGTATCCCAGTTGAACCGGTTCAACCGTAACCCCAGTAGATTGTCCGGATTTATGTCCTGTCCGAATTTCAAAACATTACTATTATTTAAAGATAAAAACCATCATCTGGAAACCTTCGCTCAGAGTCTTTATTCTTATTAGATGACACATTCAAAACTTTTAAGTATTAGCATTACTCGTTTCAAAAGTATTCTTTTTTCTTTAAAAAAATAGCATAAAAAAAATGCCACGCATGTTGGGGTAGAATTTATATTTTTCGAAAAATATTCCAGGAAATCAAAAAGATTCCATGAAAAATCACATTGTAAGGAGTCGGTGTAAGACAAAAACAAATATCGAGAGGATTTTAGTAATTACGAATAGATGGAAGCATTTTTTGTAATTTAGCCTAAGTTTAGGGCAGTTTTTGTAATTTACCCTTAATAAAATGACAACTGCTGGGGAAAGTGGTGAGGGTCCATCTAACAAAATAACAAATAGCTTTTTGCTACAAGTGGGCTTTTTGTGGGCCCTCTAGCTTTAGGAAATGGATGTAATGGGCTCGGCCCGATTACCATATATTGGGCTTTTCAGCCCGAGTATGGAAAATCAAATTTGGCTTTATTTCCCATCCAACTTCTACCCTTTTATTTTTTATTAGATTTATCTCTCTATAACATAATGCAAACGCTAGTCTAAGTAGAAGTTAGTGATTTTGAGTAAATATTAAAATGAATAATTAGTTCTAGAAGCAGGGGGTAGGAGTATAAATGAGACGAGTCGGCTCGCAAGCTTCCGGAGCTTGCTTGAAAAAAGCTCGTACTCGAGTTCGACAAATCGAGCTCGAGCTTCATTTCAGTTGTTCGACCGCTCGCGAGCCGGCTCGCGAGCTTTACCTTCTTTCTATATTTTTTTAATACATATTAATAATATGTAATAATGAATATTATTGATAATAAATAAAAAAGAATAATATTACTTTTCTAATTGATTTTTTTTTATGAATAGGTTAATTAAATTAAAATTTGGTTGTGCCGAGCTCGAGCTCGAGCCTTGTATAGTTGTAGCGAGCTCAAGCTCAAGCTCACAAAATAAGGCGAGCTCGGCTCGTTTATACCCCTAGCAGGGAGTGTTTGTAAATCCTTTAAAAAGTCAACATTAAGCTGTTAATTTAGAAGTTGTAATCCAGATAAACCTCTATAAAATAATAGAGTCGAGATCAGGGAAATTCTATTAATTTAGCAAATTATAAAATTATTGAATTAATAATTTAATGCGTTTTCACCTAGTCGGGACCGCGAGAAACGATTATTTAATCAAAATTATTAATTTATCAAATATTAATTTATCAAATATTAATTTATCGAGGTTCTACTTTATTTACCTTATTTAGCTTATGTTACACTCATTAAGTGTGAGTGTAACGTAAAATTAATTTCCAAACCCCAACTCCATTAACTAATGCTCGAATTTTGAATGAGAGATGAAATTTTCAATAAACATGTAATAAATGATTATAACACCAAAAACTGTTATACACTGGATATCAATATAAAAAGCACTTTTTCTCTATACAATGAAAAGCGCTTTTCAATTCATATATACTATTACCTATACATTCATATATAGGAAGCAACAATGGAACTTAAACTTATTCTTCTAGTTGTCCTCTTCATCTTCTCTTCACCTGGTTAGCACTTAGCTCTCTCTGTGTATATATATATATATATATATATATATATATATATATATATATATATATATATATACTAGCAGCATAAACTTTTAGTTCAAATGATAATTCAACATGATATCTGCAGAGTCAGACCTAATGAAAGATCCTGAATTTCAACAACAATTACTGTGAAATGATGATATACAATTAGAATATGTAAATAAATAAGTGTAGAAAAATTGATGTCTTTTATATATAAGATATTTACTCATAATATTGTTGATATATTTATGTATATATATATATAATGTACCTCGTATTTTTGGCAGAAAAAATTCAATCAAATCGTCTGAGTGAAAGTGTTGCAGCTGAAACCCCGTACAATAACGACGAAAACTACGATTATGACGGCCCAAACCCATATTGGTATACCCTGTGCCATAGCATCGAATGTGATACTTCAGACGATCATTGTTCAAACTACGATTGCAGAGTTTGTGGTACCGATAAAAGATGCCTTCCATTTTAAGTATATATACACGAAGTTATATACGTATGTACGTATATATTAATCCGTTACCGATTTATTTAAATAGCAAAAAGAAACATTTTGTTGTAATAATCTACCAAGTTTTCATGAAGGGAATAACACCGTGATTTTCTTGCTTTCAATTAAAAAATATGAAGATTGTTACATATTAAAAAGTAGAGGATGAAATAAATTAATAGCACTTTGCACCCTCGAAACACAATAAATCATTAATAATGCCCTCTGAATTGAATATTTAAAATTTAATGAGGGTAATTTCATTTTTTTTTTCTGGGTTTTTTTGGTTTAATTTCCTAGGTGCAAATAACAAATTTATTATTATTTTCTTCCACCCCAACATAATTTCGAGTATACAAAATGCGAAAAAACAAAAAAATGACAAAGAATTACTGAAAAATAACTATATTTTCGTTTCAGCAGCCTTGGTTGAAGCTGAATTTCACTAAATTATTCGATTTATCATTTTTATATTGTAATTAGTGAAAATATTTGGTAGAACTCTTTGGAAGAAAATATAATTTTATTTAAATAAATAACTAAAAAAGAATAGTTAAATTATACAAATAAAAATATATATTGAAACAGGCAACATTTAAAAATTTAAATGTATTATCTTGTGTTTGGTACATATTTAATAGATAACATCGAATTGTTATTGGAACAAGTAATCAAATACATTCATATTGATAAATTTTAAGAAATCAATACATAACTAATAGTAATCTTAAGTATTCAAATATATTTTAGTTCATTAATTTCATAAATTATATTTCCATTCATTATTATACAATATATATTACTTTTTATTTTTTTCAAATAATTTAATTTTTTAGTTACTTCTCACTTTTTTATGATCCATTAATTATTAGATTGTTATGTTTATTAGTTTTCAATTTTAAAATATAAAATAATTGATATTAAGAGAGGTAAGTGTTACAAATGATACTTTAGAGAGTAAATGTACGTAGACTATACTTCAGAAGTGTAAACTGTATTTGACCCAATAAATAAAATAGGTTAACTAAATGTGAAACAAGCCAACACGAAATACAACGCATCAACTGTAGGTGTAACAACGTAAATTAATTGAGAGTAAATAGCACTTACCTCTGTGGTCACAAGTTTTGCATATGACCCATTTATATTCATAATATCAATGTAAATAGCACTTAATCTCCTTGTGGTTTGGACATTTTGCACATGACCCCCTTATGATATGAATTTAGGCACATAACCTCCTTGTGGTTTTGACATTTTGCACATAACCCCCTTATGGTATGAAATTAGGCACATAACCCCCCTATGGTTTTGAATTTTGCACATGACCATCTTATGGTATCAAATTAGTTTCTTCCCCTCCTGAATCGGTGACTGGAAAAGGCTAGATCATGCTAGTTAAGTGGGGTCCAAGGCCATTAGCAAATCTGAAAACTTAATCACGTTCACATGCAAGCTTTTTGATCGCAAGTAAGAACAATGTAATCACACCTAAAT